CTGGGTGTCCTTGCACACTGGTCACTGAAGGTAAACATTCAGGGCCTACAGGTGGTAAAAAAAAAGCTAAATGATATTTGGTCTTCAGAGCAAGAGGCAAGAGGATTCAAGTGCAAGTGCAGGGACATCTTGCTGCAGTTATAAAGCATCTTAGTAAAACCACACCTGAAATATTATGTGCTGTTTTGGTTTCTTTATCTGAGGAAGGATGTTCTTGAGTTAGAAGGAGTACAGTGTGAAGATTTACCGAACTGATTCCTGGAATGGTGGAACTGATGAATGAGGAGAGGTTGGATTGGTTAGTACTATATTTGCTGGAGTTTAAAAGAACAAAATCTCATAAAATGGATAAAATTCTAAAGGATCAGCAGGGTAGATGTAGAAAGAATGTTCCTGATGATGGGGGGAGTCCAGAATCAGGGATCACAGTCCAAGTACACAGGGTAAACTATTTAGGATTGAGACAAGGAGAGATTTCTTCACCCAGAGTAGTTGGCCTATGGAATTTGCTACCACAAAGAACAGTCAAGGCCAAAACATTGTATGATTTCAAGGAGTTTTATATACCACTTGAAGCTAAAGGGATCCAAAAGATATGGGGGAAAAGCAGTGCCAGAATATTAAGTTGGATCATAATGTATGATGGAGCAGACTTGAAGGGTTGATTGGCCTACTCCTGCTTCTATTTTCTATGTTTCTATGTTTTACATTCCAGTGGAATGACAGGAGTCTTTGGGAGTCATAGGAACTTTTGTATCACTGTGTGATGGCTCGAATGTACACATTGAATTACCAATCTCCACAGAGCTGAGTGCTATTTTATTTTTACTTTGTAGAACACTGTAAAAATAATTAGATTAAAAAGAAAACACCAGTCAGGAAACTCCCTAGGTAATTAATAAAATAATAAATTATATGTCAATTTAATTTGCTGTAAATTAATGTCAGGTTTTCTCTTTAATCATAAAAATGTAGCAGACTAATATAATATATATTCTTTTTAAAATAAGACACAACAAATCATAAGCATGTCACAGAGACAGTTGACTATTCTACAAATCAGTCCTGAGCACAAGTTCGCTTGAGTTGGTTTGTTGCCATAATTCACTCAATATCTTCAACTTTTAGAAGATAAAACTATAGGTATTATATTCAACACAATAAAACAATAAAAGATTGTTTTACTCCTCCTGAGCACAAAATAAATTATTTCTTGAAAACAAATCTTAATTACCTTCTTCCTATTCTCTGTTTTTACATTATCCATCAATAACTTCTGTAGCAATAATTATAGTAGGGATCTGCTTATGAATTTATTGTTAAAACCTTGTGATTTTTTGTGTTGCAATACATGATACCTGAATACTGACACAGCAAACCAGTTTCTGCAGGGACCAGCAGAAATTCAGGTGATGTCACAAAACTGGACCTTATGGGAATCAACAATAATTGTAGTGCAGTGACAGCCTTTCATGTTTAAAGCAAATTATTCATTTTTAGTGAAACATTATTTGTAGGGAAGTACGATGTAAAAAAAAAACACTCTACCAGGTTTAATCAAAATCAGCAGTGTCCATTCCATCTTTTGCACAGCATGTTTAAGTTGCACCTTCAGCTATTAAATTGATAATTGATTTTATTTTTCTACCAAACCATTACAAAGTGTCTACTAGTAAGTGTCTAATAACCAGCATAAATGGATGATAAAGTTTACCTGGATGCATGTGAAATAGTATTGAGATTAACATCCGAGAAGATCCAATCCCCTGTACTCCGTACATGGTGAGTTGGCTATTATGTATTTTGAGCATGATACTTGCATTTTCATAATTTTTTGCGTCAAATTTTCAAAATTTTAGTCACACTGGTTACATTAAAAATTAGGTTTCATCTAAATATTCTTTTTTTTGCTGAAAAGGTAAAATCAAAGCAATACTGCATACAAATCAATGTAAATGTTTCGTCCTAATGACAAAGTGTCACTGTTACTGTTGAGCACTATTTTCTTTACTTCATTGGAAGCATACCTGTGTGAAATTTTAATACCCAAAATGTCAGAATCCCAGACAAATAAAAAATCTATTCAAGGATTTTAAATCTTATCTTTCAATGCTTTCAAAATAATGTTGAAGTTTAAAACTTTTGTGGAGAAGACAATTTGGATGCCTATGTGTTTCTGCATTTGTAAACTACTAGTTAAATATTCCCAGGACTTTATTGATGAAATAATTTGAATTGGTAAGCTTTGTAAATAGGAGGCCTGCTATTTTATCAATTGAAACTAAATGAGCATAATACAATACTTTGAACATGTACTTGAAGTAATTTGGCAAGTTGTAATATATGTAATTCAATCCTAAGAAATAATTTGATCAATCATTGTTCAAAAATACATTGCTGCAACTTATATATTTTCAGAAAATCTATGAGATCAAACAATAAACTTCCCAAAACATAAATACAAATTGCTATGATTTTTAACCATCCAGGTAGCCCCAGTTTTATTACATTGAAGAGGCCAGATCTTGCTGTGAAAGTAAAAAGTTTTCATGGACATACCATTATTAATATACAAATCTGGCAGGAAGATCAAGGGATGAAGAGATATTCCACAAACTGTGAATCTTCAGAATGAGTGACTTGATTTTTCCTGCTCTGCCCTTTCTTCCCATAAAAGATATTTTTAAAAAATCTTTCCATTATTTTTTAATAATGTGTTGGGCTTGCACAATAGTTAGGAAAACGTTACAGATCAAAATTAAAACCTATATATATTTTAATGAATTGATCACTAATAATGCAATGCTAATTAATCTCATCCAAAACTGCAATAATTTAAACTGCAGAGCTTCATTCCTGCATGTCATAAGTTACCAAGTATTTTGTACATTTTAAATGTAAATATTAGCACTTTATTTTTCTTTCAATCCATTCTTATTTTACCTCTTTTTAATTTCCAAACCTGATTTGTCTCTAATTCACCTTCATTCTCTATTCTTTCTATTTCTCTCTCAAGCCTTAAACCTGATTTATTATGTATGAGTTTTAATGATGGTCCTATTGTTCACCCAGATCCCAGTTATCCTGTTGTCACCCACTGTCATCAGCTTGCACTTGCAACAAGCTACAATGCAAAAAAGCGTTTGAGCACTCGGGTGAAAGAAAGCATCTAAATAATAATGATGCCCTGTTCCAGCAAGATTTGGCCATTATATTTTAAATGGATTATTCTGAACACATTTATGAGGAATGCAAATAATTACTTAATTTATAAACATTAAACAGATATGAGATTGGATCTGACTTGGAATTCAAACAGTTAAACACTTTTTTCTGGGATCAATAATTCAACAGCGAACTCAATTTGAGTTATATAAATATTTGGTTTTTGCATGAACACTTTAATGAATGACACTGGCATAACTATCTCAAGATTCTTTGAAATAAATAAATGAAGATTGTCTAAATCCTTTTTCTTTTTAACAAACTTGCAATGTGATGAAATAATCTCAACAATACCTCTAGTCAGGATATATTTTGTTTTGTTGTACCATGGCAATTTAAAAGAGCTGCAGAGAAAATAAAATTAGACAGTGGTGTATGAAATAAACTTAGCGCATGTGCCATACAATGGCAATTTTTTCAGCAAGGAAAGGAGAAAGACTGGATTTCTTTTATTGGTATGCTGCTATATTACATTTGGGCCAAGCAAAGAGGATAGAATGCATCTGATAATCTACACTGCAACTGTCTTTTCCCAGATATGCCTACCTACCTTAACATGTATGCAGTAACAGAAAAACAAAATGAAAATGGGTACATTCATGATAAGTAACAGTATCTTCCCACTATACTGATAATGCACTGTTAAGTTCCACAAAACAAGACCCAGCTCCATCTTAAGACTGGCCAAGATGGTTACATATTATAAGAAGAGTGAAAAGGGTTTACGGAGTCTTCAGTACACTACAGTCAGGTGAAAATAGTAAATATGCCACTTTTTAATTAGCTATAATATAATGAAAATATATCCACAACTTAAAATCCTTTGGGAAATCAGTATAACTTCTGATAGAATCAACTTGTGTTTTACATCAAAACTTCCATGAGATCCAATTAAATTTACTTGACAGATTTCAGTGAGCAGTGTTCTGCAGCGATTAGATCTGAATTATGTTTGCAGTATTACCGAAAAGTATTGCATTGTAAAATAAATCTACAACGTTCCACAATAAAAAATCCTCAGTAGAAAATTATGTCTGGATGGTCTCCTTCATATCACTTAATGAACTTCATGGTCTCACTGAAATATCTGTGTTAAAGTAGTGACAAATGTTGAAAAGAAAACTACACTTTACAGCAGTATTAAAAAACATCTTATTTGGTGTTTAAAAATTGTTCAAATAGGGAAGAAGGTCTAGCCGTTCAAACACCTTTTAAATTCCCCACACATGAAAATATGATGATATTATTTAGGATCCAATTTATACAAAAAAAATCTAATTTAATACTGACCTTCTCATGTGTATATTTGTTAATTATAGTACTAGAAGATAGCGTAGAAACATCATATTTGATGATTTAAGGGTTTGGATCTAAAATACTGCTAACGACCATTGTGGAGACCTCTACTGGGGATGCTAATGCAATCTGTAGAGTCAAAATTCCAGGTCTGGATGCTTCTTTATCTAGAATTCCTTCATCGACAGATCACATTAACCCTTAACCTAAATTATTAAGCTTGCTGCTGGCTCATATTAGAAATCCAGTTTGACAAGTAAATACAACTCCATGTCAACAAATATTTAAAATGACAACAGTAAACCCAATTAAAATGCTGCTTCCTGACAAGAGGTTCTTGCTGTACTGTCTGCTCTCTTTATTTGGCTTTAATGTTTAGCCAATGTAAAGCAATCTGCCATTGTTAAAGTTCAACTGCCTCTTATAATTTATTTTTGTTAAATTATATACGGTATTAAAAAAGTCACACAAATAGCCAGTTTGAACACCCAGTGGTGTAATATAACTTCCCCGTTGAGTTTTTTTTACAAGGGTACAGACATTACATACAGATTTGTACAATCCAACAGATAGCCCTGCGTGGCCCCAGTGCACACACTCAATTGTGCAATTCTGAGATGAATATTAAAGACCTCAGGTTTCTTTCTAATTTAAAAGTGCAGAATGCATACAAAGACATCCATTTTAAGAATAAGAGCTCCATACTAAAATTAGGGGTGTGCTAGCCTCGTGAAGTTCAATGAAGGACCATTTTGACTCTAATTATAAAGACTGCTGAAGCTAGAACCAAATCCAAACTGTGCATTGACAACACCTATGACACACTTTGATCCACTGCATCAGGTGTTGAGTCATGTTGCAAAACTGCAAAAATGTACTGATGCATTTTTGTACAACATGCGATATTTCTGATGTCATCTAGGAATAAGCAAAATATTTTGGTTGGAGAGGTAACTACCCGGTGATTTTTTGTGTGACTAAAAAGTATTAAGTATTATATCGGTCTATTTTGTAACTAAAATACCTGGCTTGAGGTACACATGAAGAAACTGCAATTTACTAACAATATGATGCAAATTTAGTGAATTAAAAAAATACTTCCAGATATGGGCAAGTTAAGAATGCAAGAAAGACTATAAAGTTCCCGTCTAGGGCAATGAAACCCAATACGTTTACTTATGCCTATTGTCAGAATATCACGAGGAAAATCTTCAGTTTGGGGTCCTCTGATCCTAGCAAACTCCAGTGTTTCAGTGGAGCTGAGAGTTATGATGCACACCCCTGGCTGAAAACTCCTTTCAAGGTGATTATCTGGTGGCCTTGACACTTACCCTCAAACTAGTGTGTGGAATGAAAAGTAAACAAGAAAATAAAACAACCGAATTTCAGATAATTAGAAATAAATACTGTATATAAACAACTCTGTGGCTTAGAACTGACTGCATGTTGTCTGTTTTTCGAGAACTTCGAGGTAGTCCGGCTCGATGTGAAGCTTTGCTTTCAGTTCCAGGTAATCATTTCTAATTTGCTCGGCATATACATTACTGGGTGCTCCGTACAGCACCGTCTCCCTCATCCTCTCCGGATGTAAATACTGGCGTCTTACTTCATAGTTCGGTGAATAATTATAGTTTGGTGGACTACCAAATTTATATTCAACACTGTTGCCAGTGGGCGACTGTTTGCCCGGCTCTAAAATGCCACGGTAGAAATGGTCCACATCTTGAACTGGAGAGACCTGCTCGTGGGGCTCGATGGTGCTGATGCTATACGAGGGGCTCCTCAACTGGTTCTCTCGCTCCTCGTCCACCGGGTTTCGGTAGGTGACCTTGAGCTCGTGTAAGTCCCTGTAATCGTCCACCGAGTTGCCCTCTCGAGACCTGTAAATGGGGTTCTTGCACATGTGGCCCAGAGGGTGGGGGATGTACTCGTAGACGTGGCCGGCGGGGCTCTTGGCTTTGGGCGCCGGCCCGTGGCTGTAGACGCTGTACTGCAGGTTGAAGGAACTCACGTCGGAATTGTTGGCGCTCGTGCGCTCGCTCTGCGCCCGCTTGCGCCGCTTCATCACCACGACGAAGAGGCCGGCCGCCACGAACACCGACGCCAGGAATACCAGCAGCAGGCTGAGGATGAGCACCGACAGGGGCACCACCGAGCCCGTGTCCGGGAACGGTGTGGCCGGGCCAGCCGTGGCGAGGGGCCGAGCGGCCGCCGGGCCAGGCGGGGCGGGGAGCAGCAGCGAGGGAGTGGAGAGAGCCACCTCGTCGGAGTGGTCCGGGCAGATGAGGTCGGAGCGGAGTGAGGCCAGGTCTTGGCCGGCCAAGTGCTTGGGGGACTGGCAGCTGAGGCGGCGGACCAGAGCTCCGGGACCCAGGCGCTCCAGCCAGCGCTTCATGCCCAGCAGCGGGCAGCCGCACTCCCAGGGATTCTCGTCCAGCTCGATCTGGATGAGGGAGGCGAGCTGGTCGAGAAGGCCGGCGACGGGCAGCGAGGCGAAGCGATTACCCCGCAGGCTGAGCCGGGTCAGGTTGAGGCCGGCGAAGAGGCGCGGCGGCAGGGACCTGAGCAGGTTGTGGTGCAGGAAGAGCAGCTGGAGGCCAGGAGCCGGCGCCAAGGTGCCGGCCCCTAGGCGCCGCAGGGCGTTGTACTCCAGGTAGAGGTAGCGCAGGTTGCGCAGCCCGCGGAAGCTGCCCGCCCCCAGCGCCTCCAGGCAGTTACCGTTCAGGTAGAGGCGCCTCAGCTGGGTCAGGTTGGAGAAGGCACCGTCCTGCACCGCCGTGATGCGGTTGTGGCCCAGATGCAGCAACTCCAGGCCGGCAGCTTCCTCGAAGTCCCCCCGCCTGACCGCCACCAGCCGGTTGCCGCTCAGGTACAGCTTCCTGGGGTTGTAGGGCTTGGGTTGCAGCTCGGAGACCCTCTCGATCCGCCTCTCCTGGCAGTTGACATTGAGCCCCAGCTCGGAGATCTGCAGGTTGCAGCTGCACTGCCGGGGGCACACCAGAGGCACCGGGGGCTTGGTCTGGTAGGCGAAGATGGGGCCGTAAGGGTAGCCTTGTCCCTCCCCTTCTTCCTCCTCCTCATCCAACTCCTCCTTCATCTTGAGGAATGGGCTGCGGGAGGTGGTGACCCTCACCCTGGAGGGGGGAGCCTTGGGCAGGCGGGTGCCTTTGGGCTGGTACCTGGACGGGGACGAGGTGATGAGGAGGTTGGGTGTGGCCGCCGGAGGCGGGCTGCTGTGGAAGTAGCCTCGGGTGCTCAAGGGAGGAGGGGCGAAAGGCGGCTTCCAATCCGAGTCCAGCCCCCCGGGGCGGCGGGGGCACAGCTCTTGGCGGGAGACCTCGCCCAGGTCGCGGCCGTGCAGGCGGAAAGGGGTCTCGCAGACCACCTCGCCCACCAGCGCCGTGTACGAGATGCTCTCCAGCCAAGCCTTGAGGGCCAGCAGCGGGCAACCGCAGTCCCAGGGGTTGTCCTCCAGCTGGAGCTCGGCCAGGCCGCCCAGGTGCTCCAGCAAGCCGGCGTGCGGCAGGGCCCGGAGCCGGTTACCCCTCAGGTCGAGGTGAGTGAGGGGGACGTGGCGGAAGAGGTCAGCGGGCAGGCCGGCCAGTAGGTTGTCGTTGAGGATGAGGACCTGCAAGCGTGGGAGTCTGTCCAGGGTGCCGCTCTCCAGCCGCCGGAGGTAGTTGTAGTCCAGCTGCAGGTACTCGAGGCGCTCCAGGCCGGCGAAAGCGTCCCTCCGCAGCCCCTCCAGCCGGTTGTTGTTGAGGTGGAGGCGCCGGGTAGCGTGCAAGCCGCGGAAGGCGCCCGCCTCGATCTCCTCGATCCGGTTGCCGCCCAGGTGGAGCACGGCGGCGCCGCTGAAGTTGAGGAATTCGTCGGGCTGCAGGCGGCTCAGCAGGTTGCCGCTGAGGAACAAGTGGTAGAGGGGCCAGTGAGGCGGACTGAGCTGCAGCACGCTGACGATCCGGCTGTCCTCGCAGCCCAGCACCAGCACGCCGTCCTTCTCCTGGCAGGAGCACAGAGTCTCGCACGCCTCGCCGTAGCTCTCGGTGCCGTCGCTGGCCACCGCCCCCAACCACCACCAGCCGCCGCCGCCCACCAACGAAGCCAAGGCGACGGCCCGAGTTAGCCACACGGACATCTCGGCGGGGCTCCCGATCCTCACTCCCACCCGCGGCTGCTCACCTTCGACAAGACAGAGAAAAACAAAAGAGAAAGGGGAAAATAAATAAGTGTGAATACCTGCCATCGGAAGCCATCGACGACCATCGCCACAAACATACAACGCACGGAAACCACCACACCCCCCCACCACCCACCCCTCCAATTTGAAATGGGGTGGGCGGGCAATGCACTCAAATTGCCATCGCATCCCCGCCCCTTCCCCAAAAAGATCGAGGTCATCCAAAGTTTATAAAAAAAAGACATTCCCCGATGATCACTCCCCGGATCTCTGAACGCTTCTCCGGAGCAAGTTCCTTGCAGGCTGTAACTGGGCAGAGAGAGAGACGTACTGCACTGTGCCGCCTGGCTAAAGGCAAAGCTTGGAGCCTCCTCCGAGTTGAGATAGGAAGTTGCATTTTCGTGTGAGCGTCACTTATCACCCACTGCGTTAACGTCACTCCAGCATCAATATGCATTTGACCAGATTTCAAATCTATTCCTTCATGAGATGCGCCAGGAGCCCCCGATTTAAAATAAATCACGGCCATTTTCAAAAGCATCTTTGTGTTTTGGCATAGGAGGGCATAAGAACAGCGCTGTCCAAACGCACACATTCTCTCTGCAGCTAATTCCAAACAAACTGTTCTCTTCGCTCTTGTCCGAAACCCTTCTTGCCCAACAAGGCAAAACAAAAACCAGGCTTCAGAAGGGACCGAGCGCTCTGGCAAGGAAATGCGGCTTGTAGGCTTCACTTCAAACATAGTAAAGTGATTCGGGAAATAACAATTATAATAAACAGGCTACAAATAGCTTTTATTTTTTTTCTCACAATTCCAATAGAATGCTTGACTCACCCCTACATCCCCCTTCTCCCCGTCACCAACTTACCCCTTCTCCCCAAACACTAGCGGCTTTGAAGGAGAGCTCGACACATTCAGTCATATCTGACTTCCACCCGGAATTTGGCAAAATGCAAACCCAGATGAAAATCGCTCGATTAGAACATTTGTAATTGGATAAAGCCAGTCGCCAATGTGCCAGCGTAGGAAATGCTGTCAGAATCGGCGGTAACTGTCGCAGCCCTTCATCCTTCCGGGTAAAAAGATATATTCAAGTTGATTAAAGGCAAACAAATAATCTACGTCAGTGATTTAATACCCAAATTTCATCTCGCTCGAACAAATCCGATTTCCTGGAGCTTTTTTTTGTTTTCATTCAGCGACTGCATCAGTCCGCAATATAAAAAAAATGCATATTTCGACCCAGTGATGCTGGAAGTCATTCTGACCGCGATTTGTGTGTGTGTCTCCACCATGCAACTCCAGGCTATCCAATACACAAGGTGCAACGTTTAAGCAAAACACTTCAACACAATTATTATCCCCAGTCGGAATCCCCTTCGCATTATGGTGGAGTGAGGACGCAGTTTTCCCCCCATTTTAATCCCCCATTATCTTACTCTGATCTCACTTGACGTTGTATGCTGGGGTACTTTGATCAACCACCTTCTTCCCAAACCATCATCCCAAAGAAAAAAAAAAGTTTTACTATTTAATCAGATATACTAACGGCAAATATAGCAAGAAATATGTAACTTCATGCATTTGATCTCAGCACTGATTAAAACAATGGCCAGCGCAATATCCTTTTGCGGATTCCCATATATGTCTCATATTTTAGTATCAAAGAAGGTTTTGTTTTAACATTATTTTTGCTCTGCTGAATACTTTTGACTACTGCATCTGGCGCGCGCGCACGCACACACATTAAACCCGCTTACTTCAGCACCCGATTTAGATCCCCGTACATTCAGTTCGACTGGAATTAGAATTTACCTACCAAGCTCCTCTTCTGAAATCTCATAACATTGCAGGGGTTTTGGGGGTGGGGTGGGGGGTGGTGTTGGTGCGCTTCCGGCCGCGATCCGAGTGGAAGCGGCGCTTTCGGAAGGTGATTAGAAATCCTTCAAAGTGGCTGTTGTTCAGGGGTAATCGTGGTCGCATTCGAGATAGAGAGATTTCGTGGACTGGCTCCTGCTCACGTCGTTCGCTGCGCGACCGCCCGCCGGACGGACGGAGGGACGCTCGACTTCTCCCCCGCTTGCACTTCCACCAACTTTAGCAGACGGTGAACAAGACGAGCCGGTCGGCAGCAGCCCCTCCGCCCAGTCCCCTGCCCCTTCTTCACAGAAGCACATCCTCCGGTGTATCACCGCTTCACACCAGCTCCCCCCCCACTACCCCCACCTCCCCCCTATACTCCAAAAGCAGCAGTAGCACCACTCCCCCGCGAGCCCAACCCAGCCAGACTGTGTTACAAGATGCCTCGCAGTCACCGACTGTAGAATATGGCTGGAACCAACTCGTTTGTCTCTTGGCTTCTGCCTTAAACAGCGAAGTCGGATGTGGGAACCGGGAAGCGTGGCTGTCTGGAGAAATTCAACGCGGTGTCAACCTCGAATCCAGTCGAGCCCTGGGGAATGCGGAAGGACTTTTCGCTGTAGGTCCTCTCTCCTTGTAGACTTTCCCTTTCCATTCATCCATTGCCTTGGGACCATTATTACCGTGCTGTCAACAGTCAGGTTAATCAAAGCTGTTAGTTGACAGGGGAGGGCGGAAAAGCGAAATCTTCAATTTCAAATGGCCACTCAGTGAAAAGAAACACAAAATCGAGTAGCACGTAGGATGTCTGGAAAATACACCCGACTATTTTGCGAGTTTCGGACAGTGCTCCTTTTTTTTCTGAATGCTGTAATTTCTATTCATTCCACCAAAGCTGATCCAGTCCATATTTTTAAAGAGGGTGATAAATCAGCGCTAACAAACCATTTGTAAGAGCGTCAGTATTTACTGTACTCAGCGTGGTTGTTTGTCATTCTAGCCATTTCCCAAACAGCAGGCAAATACGCAGCGGGGGTGAGCAGCGCGCGCGCGCACACACACAGAAAGGAACTGATTGTAGCTGATCCTGAGAATGGTAATGGCCAAAAGATGGCAGTGCAGGGTGACAGAATTAAAGACCGACACAGAAAGCTCCATCCATTTGACTTTGCTTACGTTCCGACAGGAGAAACCTTATATAAAAAATTGTGTGGAAGCATCGGATTCGGGGATGGATTTACCTGGTCTCCGTTCAGGGTCCTATTTCCCACTGAGTTTGTTTTTTTTATATTTGAAACGCAGGCAGTAATAACTCACCAGCGTGCACAAGAGCTATCTTACTTAGGGCCGTCAGAAATGCGAGCTTAAAAGTTGATACAGTGATAAGGATCACACAAACACACACAGCTATAATATGCTGTGCAGCCGCCTACAACTTTGTGATCCTCTATCCCCCTCACTCCAATTCTGATCCTTGTGTACGTACATTGCCCATTTTAGTGAGTCCACGCTGGGTGACGGTGCCTTCAGTTGCTAAGGCCCTGAACCACATTTCCCCCTTCTTTCCTCTCTTTTGTACCTACCAATATGTCTTTGATCATTTGCCCTAATATCTCTTTATGTGTTTATACAGGTGTCAAATTTCACTTGCTAATTCTCCTGTGAAATTCCTCGAGCTGTTTTACTGCACAAAAACATTTGCAGAAAACAAGGTTGTGGTTGATGTGTTATCACCACAGTCCAACCGTCATTTTATGTTTGTTGAATGCCTGCAGTGGTGGAACAGGCTACAGACTATGGACTCACATTGAGAATTGGGCTTATGCTGTTATTATTTTAACTTACATTAAGTCTGCACCTTGCTGTTGAGATTTGCAAGTCCATTCTACCTGTCAGCATTATTATACATTCAAACACGAAGCAATGATTGACAAAGATGGAGAGAGAATTGTCTCTGATAAATGTAGTGCTGACTCTATTGAACACTATGCGAGTCATGCAGAGGCAATAAGGACTCCTAGTTACTTACATTACAGAGACAAAGAAGACATGACATGGAATTTTGGTAAATTTGATTCAGTTTCATCTGAAAATCCTAGTCTGGAATATATACAAAAATAAACTCAACTTTTTTTTATTTACAAACATTATTGTTTTGACAGACAGTCTCTCCCCAAGACAATTTTAAATCCTTCTGCCATCTTAACTTGTTATATGGGTTATCTTACATTGGCACTTAGGCCTACATTTAGCCACTATAGCTAACTCTTTAGTTCTATTATAATCTTAGTCTCTGATCTCTCTTTTGAGATTTAGGTAGCTTCAACTTTTAAACTAACAGGAATTTTACCAGTCCTGTCTTTGTTCTGCACAGATTGCCCCCACAAACTCCTACACTGTCCCACACATGCTGACACAACAGCTGATCCCCGCACTCTCACATTGTCAAACACATCTTCAAACACACACCATCTCACACAGATACTCACTGCATCCCAAGCATGCCAACCCAATCCCACGCACATGCGTTCAATCCCATGCCAATTTACACTTAATCTCATACACACTCAAGGTCCCATACACTTTCACTCTTCATTCTTATCATCTGACTTTAGACCTTCTGAAACACTCAAAATTTACATTTCTTTTCATTAATCTGCTTACATTTTCTCACCCTCAAAGCCTCTTTGAACTCATTTTAGAAAATTAGATCCAGATACAATAATTACATTCATATTGGAACTGTTCCATTTGTATATCACAAGTGCAAAAGTGATGACAATTTTTGAAAAAAAAAGAACAGAATCTTATCGCAGCTGATCTGTTTACACTGGGCTTTGCCATAAGGTTTACCTCATCCTTCACAGTCATCCTTCACAAATGTTGTACTTCTAACTTCTTCAGACACTCCATCTCTCACAGTCATAACAGCTTTTTTCTCTCTTTGCAGGAGAAGATAGCTGACAACTCTAGAGACTGGTGGAAGTCGGCTGTGGACGCGCAATTGACATTGCACAGACGACTATAGAGGAACAGTCTTCAGAGATTGGCATTGTGGCAGTGTTGATGAGCATATATGATGGGAGTCACCACCTATATGCCTCTAGGAATCCAGGCACGACAGCTAATTTGACAGCTCACTGGCAGACTGCTATTGGAGTTCCTAATTTTACTTCTGATAAAATACATTGCTTATAATTCTTTT